ACAATTCTATAATTATTTTCGAATAGGGGTAGTTTTCACCCCTAAAAAATACAAAGCAACCCCCGGCACAGGGTCAACTTTGAAGTAGAGGGTAAGTAGTACCTAAATCCAAATTTTGGTGCAAATCGGTGCTGTTTGGGAAAATTATACAGTAACGCCGGATTTTACCCTCAATGACTGGACTATTAATCACAATTTTTATATTAAAAATAGTAAATTGGCTCATTAGTTCACAATTTCAGTAAAGATTTCACTGTATTCTGAAGGTAATCTAAATAATTATTAATGAAAAACAAATATTTAATATTACTTACAGAAACTTAATTTTTTATTAAAAAGAAGAAATAGTTGTAAATTTCGTATAAAAGTAGTTTTCTATGAATTTCAAAAAACGAAGCATTTAACGGCCCATGGTTGTCTGAACTTTATTTGCCTATGTAGACGTTCCGAACACGTTCTTAAAATAGGCGCCTTTCCTCCAGAACACCCGGTATAACGGACAAAATTTTTTCAAACACACAACACAATGTCAAAATATACCCAATAACCTAGCCTAAGCTTCATCCAGAAACACCTGTACGATGTGTCATAATTAATGGTTGGCCCCTGTTCCGTCCATTAATCATCACCCCGTCTAACCTTCTGCATTGTGGGGAAGGTCGCAGGATTGACTGGGGGGGTTCCATGCACGCGGCATGCCAAATAGAACGTATTGTGCGAGTGGGTGGTTATCAATTGTCGTCAGAATTAACATACGCGGTGGCCACAATGGGGTATGAAAATATTTCGGTTTCCGTGGAAGAGCGCCCGAAAACGCAGGATCGATACGCATTTTGGATGGCGCAGTGTGGCGTTTGCTACACTGGGAAAACTGCCCAGTTATGTCGAAAATAATTGAAGCCGAACAAACTTTATTTTATCGTATGTTAAACAAAATATACACAAAACATTTACACTGATATTTTAGGTGTTAAATATCTGTACAAGGTATTTTTTCACAATAAACGGTGAAAATTCTTTCATAAATATACAGGGTGTCCGGAAAGGTCGTGTCAAAAATGAAGCTGTGTACAGGAGAGCTGAAAATAGTTGCAGTACTTTATAAAAAATTTTTTCCTATCGGGCTTCGTTGTGGAGTTAATTTTTCTTTCACAGTTCGATTTATCTCTCACTTTGCTAAACAAAGTTATACCATATATCAGCGATATCTTATACTGTTTTTGAGAAAATTAACAACATACATGTATTGTATCAAAAATGCGATATTAACATTTAACGATTTAACGATTTAACATACAATTTTGGAAATTGACAAGACTGTCAACAAGTATGTATAATTAGCAATAAGATTTTTGTCTTAAATCATTTTGACACCATTTGTTGCAATTTGCAGATATTGAAGCTGTTCGGATGTACGCCAACCGCTTTCCAAATAGAATTTACATATTTGAAGTGACGAAAACCCCCATGCTATTATTCAGACAAAACTCAAACAAATTTATCGTTAATGTACGGATGAGAATAATTGGAAACTACTAAGTGGGGCCACATATCATTGATGATACTTTAAATGGGGATAAATACCTACAAACACCTTAACCGATTATTGGAAGACGTCCCTTTAAATATTTGAAATAACATGTAGCTCATGCCCGATGGAGCACCACCCCATTTAACAGGGCAGTAAGGGCTTATTGAAATGCCACATTTCCCGATAGATGGTAATCCTTTTCTGTTGCTGCCTCGGTCTCCCGATCTTAATCCTCTCGATTTTTTCTTTGGGACCATCTTAAAAGTCTTGCTTATCAAACTCCTATAAATAGTAGGGATGAATTATTAAATCGCATAATTACATACGCCAACATCATTATTAGATGATCACCACGTTATTTTGGGTACAGCAGAGGAGCAATTTCAGAAAACGCATTGAAGTTCAAAGTGCACATATTGAACATCTTATTTTCAGTTCTATAGAAACCAAGATTTTTACAAAAATGTTAGTATCACATTTTTAATTGCCCAAATTTCATTGTTGTCATGGTAACGACTTATAAGTTATACTTAATTGGAATGCGTTTTTCAAACCTCTTTTTTTGGAGGCGAATAACTCCACAACGAAGCCCGATAGGAAATTTTTTTTATGAATTACTACAACTATTTTTAGCTCCCCTGTACACCCCTTTATTTTTGACATGATCTTTTCGGACACCCTGTATTTTGCACAACGATACAGTTTACTGTGTAGAACATGTAGTTAATAGTTTTTTTATTAAGAAAAGTTAGGAATAAAGTTAAATTTAAAGTAGACGTGCATGATTTTTTAACAGAAAACTTAAAAAAAAAACATTGTCGCCACAGAAATATCGATATGGTCCATAAAAACCTTAAAACTGCTATTAAGAAAAAAAAATTAGTAAAAATATTGCTTCTAAAATCCAGTTTCCTCCAATCCTAGAATGAGATTTCCATTTTTTTTATTGACTTTCAGATTCCAATGGCATTAACACCAACAAAAAGTTTGAGCTGCACTTTTCTTACTAACTTTTCCTTATTCTATTTAACATAATATAATCAGTTAAATTAATGTAATTTTTTATTTTCAGAGCATGTCTTTAAAATGATTCGAAACTTTTGTTACAAGTAATTTTCTCAACAAGAAACTTTTTTTCGTTAATATGAAATTATGTTTCAGAGAAATTATTTCTCCAAATCCGAAACATACTATTTTTACACAAAATCATCCGCTGTTCAATCATCTCTAAATTATTCCTGTCGCCTTCGCCAAAATCTATTACATTTTACAGAAAAATGTAGTTTGACAATAAATCCGAGTAAATAATAACTTTCCACGGGACTGTCCTGTCAGAAGAACTCCAATTTGTTATACTCCCCGATCCCTAACCCAATTTTTTACATACGCGCTAAAACGTCAAATTAACTAAATTAAAAATTCGCTATACCCTTAACCTCAAAACTTTCCACACAAGACACTTTCAAAGATTTATGTTTTAAAAAGCGCTCCGCAATTTACCGGGAATTAATTAAAGTTTATCACATACTAAAAAAAAGTATGTAGGATCATTACTCACCGAATTAATTTACCGACTTTACAAACATTGTGGTAAAAAATGTCGGTCGGTTTAATAACAGCTTGGTACAACCCTTTGCCAGGATTCCATTGTTAAATTAATAGATCATTAACTATGGGTTACCCAACAGACAACTTAAATTTAATCAGGGGGCATTATTAACGGCGATAGGTGCTAAATGTAACAGTACACAAAAAAATGAGGATGTATCCAATATTGAAGTACAAAGGGGCACTTAATAAGTTGCATCAATGTCGTACACCTATACTCTGTGACACCTATACTTACTTTTTTATCATTTTCTATACCTGTTTTTTTTTATATATTGTAATTATTTATTTCAGTCAATTCTAGAACTAGAAATATTTAAATAATATTAAAATACAATTCATATTACTGTATATAGGTATTTCTGCCTATAACTATACTCATAATGTTGTTGCGTAATTTAATCTAATTACTAGTGATTACTGAAAAAAGCTTACAACGAACAACAGATCGATATATCCATCATACCATAAATACAGAGCCGGGTCTATTTTTGCCGCAGGTGTTATTCCCGATATCGATAAACTATTTAGAGATTCGGAAACGTCAGAACGATTTTTGGTTTCGATTTCCCTATATACTAATTGAAAACCTGAACATAAATATAAAATGAGGCAGTTCAATTACCGTTCGGCAGCAGGTTGATTTGGTTTTGCGATATTTTAATTAATATACTTCCCTGAACCCCCTTTCGTTCATAAAAATAAATTAAATAAATTAGGAAATGTACAGGGAAGGAAAAACGAATATACATAATAAATATATAACAGTAAAGAGAAGAAGGCCTGTTTTGCTTAGTTCATTGAAATAACATTCTAATAATCCTTTCTCGTTAGTTATGTTGTATATTTTTTCTTCTCTACGCCATTTTTCATAGCGATTAAAATCTTGTTAATACTTCTCTCTTGACTTCTCTGGCATGTGTGATAAAAAGGACTGGTCTCGCAATACAAACGTTACTTATACTATTAATTGGTAATTTTGATTTCCATAAAGGTTAAAGTTGTTTTTGCTGCTTTTAAGCAAGATGTTTTTTAAAGTGCGGATAATTTTTTACGATGTGTTTAAAATTGATGAAATAGAATTAATGGACAACTAATGTAAGTCCTTTAAAGAGCTGTATTGAAGCTTTTACAACCACGATCGAATAATGGTTACCTCATTATAGAAAGCGACTTGATGAATAATTCCTATGATTTAATCCCCAAAATCCAGAACAAGGGCTAATGGGGTTCAGGTTAAGTTATCGAACCAGAAAAGAATATAAATTTGCAGCGAAGCAGCCTCGCGTTGGTGCTGCTGGAATTTATTGCTCTGCTCTATAGGGGTTTCAGATATTTTCCTTGAAATTTAACGTTAATAAGCGTATACAGTTGCTCAAAAACGTTAAATGTTTTGAGAAAAGAGATATGTATTATTCCAAAGACACCCCAAAAGCATCATTATTTTTCTAGATTTTTTTTCTCTAAAATAAAAAGACTTTTGAACTCTTTGTACACAAGTTCTCTGAATTTCCTTGTATAGGAAAATATTCCCCAACTAAAAGGTTGATTGATACGGCACAGCATCAACAGACACAATAAATGCGATCAGAGATCGACGTTTCCCGATGTCATCAACATTTACCAATTATCAGCACTCAAACTTGGTTATTGGTCAAAATCACTTTTATCCTTCATGTCGACAAGCATCAAAAGCCAATTAAAGTCCTCCACGAACTCATAAAACTTATCAAATTAAGTGTCGCGCGATAAATACTCGGCTGACATCCCTAGCAGCAACAACGGCCCATTATACCGCAATAGGGCCGATATTTATAGCTTCCAACGAGCGGCCCATCAAGTAACCATAACCGTGTTCCAGGGTTTATGGCGCTGAGGGGATCCGGAGCGGTGCAGCAGCGGGCGATCGAGACGTTGACATGCTGAAGGAAGAAAGCCACGTGGGCTGAGCCTACCCACATCGGCGGCACTGCCTCTCTGAAAAGGTGAGTCCCCAACAGCTTTTAGGTTGTTTACCGGTGATAACGTAAGATTAAAATTTCAACTCAAGCTAAACTAAAGCTCTGCTCACACGGAGCAATTTATCGCGTGTAAATGTAGAAGCGGCGATCTTGTGCTGCATTGATAGAGGGGAAGTTATAAAACATTTTGTTTAAATACTTGTGACACCCCTTGCTAATCAGTACATACTTTTATGTATTATACAAACTGGAGCAGGGTGTTTCACAAAATTATTTAAGAAATATTACTTTATATTATTAGTAGTCTTGATTTTAATTGTCAGATAAAAAGAAAACACACAAATACATATGTTATTGGTATTAGTATCACCTATACCCGAAAATATACAAGGTTGGTTAGAAACCTGCATATTTTCATGCCATTTATGACAAGAAGTTGCACGGTTTCTGAAATATCCTGAAAAAACTTTTCTTTTCTTATTTCTTCCATATCTATTTTAAAATATTGGCACTTATTTCTGGGACACCCTGTACAGTTACTATTTTTAAAGAAGCCTTTATCTAGACGACCTATTTTCTTTCCTCTTGGCCCAGAGATATTAAACAATGGTTAGTTAAACCTTTTTTTTCGCAAATTAGTCATCAATTTCACAAACGTTTCTGTCTCACATTTTTAAACGTCTTTCGGACCACCACTGGCAACATTCTAACGAACTTTATTAAGTTACTTCGCTTCCATTTAGATGGTCCGTTTCTAGCTGGGTTCTTCCCAAATATATACGTATTTCCTTCCCGTTTCCCAGCCAGATGCGAAAACTTAATGCCATCCTGCATATATTTGCTTTTATGGAAGCACGGTTTTTATATCAGCAGAAAATATCGTATATTCCCCGGGACAGAGACGAAAATTGATATGTCTGGAAAGTAGAGCGTTCCTAAATGGTTTATTTTTAATGTAAGTAAATAATTTAATAAATAATAATAATAATAATTTAATAAATACAATACATTTTTTTAAACTTGAGAAATTGCCGAAAAGTTTTTATTTCGATATAATCGATATTCAAAACGGTTTATTGCGTCTGATCGAGTCATAAAGCACAAGCACACAAAAAAGTTATTTGTTTCTTAGATGAAGTTGTGCCACTCTAGTATTTGGACTCCCAAAAACCGAATCTGCCAGAGGAAATGTTCCATTATCCTTTAGTTTTTCAAAAAGCCCAAAAACTACACTTGAAATAAAGAAATCAGCATTCGAAGCCCCAATAAAGCGTACAACTTTGCTCGAATATTTGAAAACATGTTAAAAACTCAATTAATTATTTATTTTGAGACAGAAAATATTAAATTAGAACCAATTTGGATTTAGGAAGAATCTTTGTACAACTTTGGCCATAGAGAAGCCGATTGTTCAATTTATGGCGGTTTTGGGCAATCACGAATTGTATCTTCTCAATTTTTAGACGTTACTAAAGCATTCGATTATGTCTCATGAAATGTTTCTAAATAAATTGCATTTCTATGATTTTACGACACAAAGCTCGATTCGATTACATCAGTATATAACACAGGCTGAGTCCAGATCAACTTGACTCACTCAGTGTAGGACTGCAACAAGGATCTGAGCTTGGACCTGTACTATTCTTAATTTATGTTAACGATTCAACCAGCTCTACAGATGGTTCCTTATTAACTGTTTGGTTTGCTAACGACACAAATATTACTGGGCAAAGATTTGTATCGAGTTAATTAATAGAACCAAGCAAGGGGTTTGGTTTCTCTCGAATCAGTTAATCTTAGATAGAGCTAAATATAATAAATCCAGAATCTGTAAAATTCTTAGGTGCATATTTCGACCCCTAATAACTGTCAAACAATTTAATTGTGCTTCGCAAATTGACTTTATACTTTGCTATTTGCTTTATCTAATTATGGACACTTGAATTTTAAGAATTCTCGGGATCTAATACATAAAAAGAAAGTGTTAAACCGTAAAATACACCAAATAACATGTCATCCCTGAAAAACGAAGGCCTCAACTAAACAGGTCTATCTGAAAGGGACTTTATTTATACCTGAATTATTCAGTTGGGTGAGCAGTCTGAAGACTCGTTCAAGCGTTATGAAAAACTATCCCATAAAGAGGCCCCTGTTCACAACTTTATTATACTTTTATTATTTAAAATATTTCAAGGCATTCTATGGCAACCCTAAAATATTCATAAAGTTCCCCTTCTCTTTATTACTTTCCATCATCCGAAGGTAATTCATGCCCTTAGATAGCGGATGAGGAAGTTATTATACAAAAATAGGGCACATAGTAAAATTACATTGCATCCCAAATAAAATATGTGACATTACTGACTTTTTCCGAGTACAAATATAATATAAAATACCTATATATATATTTTATTTTTCACTTAGGCGATATAGCTTGTTTATTACTAGGAAACGGAAAACAACATCATATCACTCTAGGACAAAACAAGCGGACCTAAATATTATCGCCCGCATTTTGACTCTACTTTGTACCCTTCATTTTTGCAAGGGTAGAATAGTAAATGTGCCTTGCATAAATGAAGCAGACAAATGAAAGTACAAAGTTTAATAACATTAATATCTGATATATATAACAATAATTTGCTTCAAATTAATAACTAAAATCATTTACAAGCGTCTTTAGAAACGAAAGCACGATTTGAGTAGGAACAGTAACACCAGAAAAACTACCTTAATTTTCTTTGCCATCGATTAAATGTTGTTCATTTTACATCAAACACTAAAAATCAAAATAACTCGTAAACGCACATGAATTTCGAAACAGAAGAAGGGACATTATTTTTGTTAAACTATATGTAGATAATGAAAATAACAGTTTCTTTAAATAGTCATTGGCGTAGAAGTTCTGTTTAAGAAAGGGGTTGAGCACCCCCTCCACTCCGCCAGTGTGCAAGTTTTTGAACATTCTTATCGCTTGTTTTATGCCCCTTAATTAATAGGCATTAACATGAAACAAAACATGAAAAAAATCTAAGCATTCGTTTATAAGTTATAACAAAAATTCGAGAAAAAAAAATTATATTCAACACCCTGTATCTCGGAAACGAAGCCTTCTACGACATATGTTTACAGGAATTTTTCTTTTTAAAAACTTGTGTTCTATCTCCTGTTAAAGTTTGTCTACAAAAAACTGGTTCACCCTGTATATTGAAAAACTGTTTTCATTCTCATTTACATTTAATTATTATATTAAAATAAATATAAAATCAGATGTCTAAGTAAAAAATAAAACGTTGTATGCACCAAGGGAGATACAAGGATGATAATGCCCTTATCATCTCTGTATCTCCCTTGATACATAAATAACTATTTCAGTACCAATGTCTACTCTTTTTCAGGGAATTTTTAGGACACGGTACACGGGTAATGGAGTGTAATGTGGCGATATTTATATCATGGTCGCTAGCTGTCATTTGTTAATAAATTAATAATATATCATTGATTTTAATTCTATTTATATATCAAAAGGCACGTCACACAGCTAACTCTGTTATCATGTGTACAATATAATATTACTGTTAAAACTGTAGAGTAACTACTGAAAAATCGATAGATCACAACGACAAGTAGGGCAAGGATAAATAGCCGCTATATATTTTAGTAACCGTGTAATTATCTCTGAATAAAAAAAACAAAAGGTATATAAAAAACGACTTGAAAAAACAGTTTTTAATTAAAGTTATCAAAAGACCATACCATATACTTCCCGCACGATGAAAAATAGTGTTATTATTATATTATTACCATTCACGCAACATAAACTAGAGCTGTAACTGATATAAAAAGAATACTTTGAAAAACACTTTCCCCCAGTCCGCTTTAATATATTTTTTCTTAGTCCACGTTTACAGTTATTTTATTACCGTTCTTTTTTGTCCCGAGAGGCTGAAACCGCTACCAATCTGAACCGTAATCATTGCGATTCTATTACACCACCCCCGTTCGACTGCAACACCACCCCGTTCTATTTCAGTTTCCGTAAGCAGAAATTTTACAGACGCAACCTTTAGCCGGGTTCATGACACTTTGCTTTAATCCTTACAAACACAGAAAAGGATTACTCCTGGTAAGGGGCCAAGATCTATAATCTCGTACTAGTAGTAGTTTATTTCAAAAGCGAGTAATTGGAACAATATTTTTAGGTTGTCTGACGATTTCGCTAAAAAATACTCCAACGAATGTTTTGGCTACGGATTCAACAATTTAAGACTCTTGCTCTTGTTCTTCGTTTAAAAAAACCTTGATGAGTTGATACTAATATGTTGAGATATACGTAGTTTGTTTTCTCAAATTTCATCGTAAAAGAAATACAAACTTGAAAATAGTACATTGCAACGCTATTAAACACATCGAAATACTACTGTGTCCAAAAAATAAGGTGGACACCATTTGGACTCGAACGGCAAAATTAATTTGGAGGCATGAATAAAGATTTTTTATTTTTTAAACAAATTCACCTAATTTTTGGACGAGTTAAATAACTTTTCACTTTCTGGTAAACCAATCTGAAAACTAAGTAAAAATGTAACAAAACAAAGTGGTGATGATGTATTCAGTCATTCCCGTTTAGCCAAATTAACGTGTACAGTTTGTTTTTTACGCGTTTACCATCCCGTCATATTATACCAGGTGTGAAGATAACCTGCAGTAGCGGCTTTTCAAAGGCGGAAATGCGGCATTTTAACTGAACATCATAGACAGGATTGCATTCTGATTAAACTTTTCACGGTTTAAATTTGTTGTTGCATTTATTTTGGAATAATTTAATATATGAATAATATATAATAACTGAATAATTATAAACAGTAGAAACATATCATGTTTTATTTATAATTTTATTTTACTTTTACCTACACCTATTAAATATCAATCAGATTAGTAAGTATTTTTATATATTTTTTTTATTATTTTTAAGAACGATAAATTGTTAATAATTTTAGTTTATTATTTTAATTTAATAGCAT